AACAGTGTAAACTGCATCTTCTCTCTTCTCCTAGATGTTCTTATATCTCCCAAGCGGTTTAAAATGATTCTTAAAGGGGTTTTTACAAGCTGATGCTAAGAACACCTTTTTCCCTCCATGCACCATTTCCATAAGTTCTTAGCACGATACAGAAATGTTTTTAATTAAAATTGGATAGCAAGTTTAGTTAGTGCAACTGGTTCAGTTTGCAGACATGGGAGATTAATGTTGTGTCTGTCAGGAAACATGAGTTGCTTTTGAGGTCAGAGAATGGAATATGCAAGCTCTGAAGAAGAAATGAAATAAAAGAGGAGTCTTTATCTTCCTTGAGGAAAAAGTGTTGTAAAATTATGGTTCTGTGGGAATTTGAAGTGATCCTGTAGTTTGAAAAGCTTGAACCTCATGAATGACCTCAGTCTTAGAATCCTAGAGGTGGTATCTTTCACAGAGGAGCAGTTCCAAGCCACGTAAATCTTCCTTCACAGAATCTGTTGAGCAAGAAATGCACTCTGGAGTAATGATACCTTTTAGCTGTTACAAGAACAACAGTCATCCCTGACAAAGTTTGCAAATGAATGAAGGCAGTTACATTTGCATGTTAGATGCAATATATTCATTGCATTTCTTCATGACACGTTTTATTACACTATCAAAATGCACACTAAGTGGGTTTTGCAGGTAAAAAATTTGTACTCACCTTGATGTATTACAGGCTTGTCTTTTTTTGGCTTTTTTAAAGCTTGCACTATATAAAGGAAAAAAGGGTAGTCTAGAATTTAAAAAATGGCATGCCACATCTGTCTGTACATGCTCCTGAAAGTTTCAGCTAGAATTATTTAGGGAACACATTGTTTTAATGTTCTTTGCCAAAGTAATTCTCATCTGTCTGTCTGTCTGTCTGTCTGTCTCATATGGCATTGGTACAATTAGCCAGGAATTGTACAGTGCTAATGCAGAGTAGTTTGGTTGCCTAAGATGGCTGGCTTTTCAGTTCACACCCCCATGCTGTCGGCAGTGCACAGCAGGGGTGAGGCAGGTTTGCACACCAAGCAGCCAGCACTGGTCTGCAGGAGCGTTGGCATCCCCTGGCCTCTCTCTTCCACCAGTGCTGCCACTGCTGCTGCAGGTCTAACATGGGGCTGGTCTTCACACTTTCCCGCAGGTCACCAGCTCCCCACGAAGGTGGGTATCCATTTATCTGCTCGCTCTTTTATGCACTTTTGAGCTGCTGGGTAGGCAGGAGCTGCGACCAGGTGATGGGGGCTCACTCTGCCGCACAGATTCAAACCATCAGCTTTCCAGTCTGCAACTTCAGCAGCTCAGCAGCTTAACCCACAGTGCCACCTCGCATCCCGGACATCTACTCATTAATACATTTTAATCGAATGGGTTACTTTGTTTTAAGGAATTGAATTTAATCAATCCCAGTTTAGAGTTCAAACAGAAAAGTAAAAGGAGTTTTAAAAAACCCCACTGCAGGGCATCCTCAGTTGCATAGACACAAAGCCTTGGAATGTAAAATAGCTCCATGGTAGGGCCTAGAGCAAACCTTTTCACTTTTCAAAGCATATGCAGTGAAAGTGGAGGATTGTGTAACTAAAAGCTGATGCTAGCAGCCCAGTTTGCCAGGTCTAGAACTGGTAGCAAACATCGTCAGGCACCTATCAAGGTCCGCACCTCAGCAGGGGGCCCACTCCTGACCACCAGAGCCCACTGTGTGGCAGCAACTCCTATTTGTCAGTGCTGCCCACTCAGCTTCTTAAACCATGTCCCAGAGAAGTATGGGATGGGGGAGAGTCACTCACCAAACTCTCTGGCACGGGAGCCATGCGAAAAGAAGGAAACAGCAATGGGGAAGCTGATGTTATTCTGCCCGAGGATCTCCAAAGCCTGGAATAAGCCCTGTTGTCTGCCATGAAACAGGCATGAATATCAAAGACACCACATCCTCCTAAGTGGGGCTGACCAGGACCTGCTGAATTATGGCAGTGTTGTTGAGTCAGCTGGGTGCAGTAATCACTGTGCTATCAGATTGAATAGATACTGAGAACTGCAAAGGAAGTTTTACAGAGGCACATTTGATTTCAAAAGAGGACCCTTCCTGAAATGAGGGAACTGGTAAAAAGGAATTTGAAACAGAGATTGGTTACAACAAATAAGATTAGATATGCTTAGTAAATCTTTTTAAAGCAACTTGCACTCTGTTGTGTGCGGAAAGCAAATGTTGGTGTGCACTGCCAAGGTATCTAGCCCCAAGACAGCCTAAAACAGCAGAACCCTGAAGAGAGCTTTGCTGCCCTGGAGACACTTGTGTGCTCAGCTTCCAAAATCTTCCTTTGACATAGGAAGAAACAAGATTGCGATGTCTGATTGTTAAATGTATACATGTGCGCACCTGCCTGCCTGCCATCATCTTGTTCCCTAGCCTTCTGCCATTTATGAGATATCAACCTGTTTGGCACATTTGTAGTGATCACTCGGGAATCGTGATGGGCTGTGGGCTAGCATAGCTGAGTGTCCTAGAGTAGATATCCAGCTTTATCAATGCTACATTAGTCTGTGACCAAAAAGAAGAGCATTTCTCAACTGTGACATGGATTTGAGAACTATGTACTAAATTATTTGAAAAACTGTGCTTCTCCTGGATTTTGTGCACACTTGAACAGAAGAGAATTAATTCAGCAATTTGCCAGTCAAAGTACAGATGGCATTTAAATGTGATTACAATATGAATCTTTAAATACTGCTATTTGCGCACAATTTAGGATGTTCTTTTATATTATGAGATTTCACTGAAAATAATACTTGAAGTATACTTTTAGGGTGGGTCTGTACATTAACCAAATAGCTCTGTAAACATAATGACTGAATCAGTTTCATATGCTACAAGATAATCAGTTCTTATTTCCATACCAGCTCCTTCACTTGACACTGACTGCCAAATTGCAAGTTGTGAACTTCACAGTATGTTGAGCTGTCAAATTAAAGTGAACACAAGAACTCAATATTACTAAGGTTATTCACATATAATTGTGGTTGAGTTCCAGCACACTGTATAAGATCCCAAGAGATTAAAAGAAGAGATCCAGAAGTACTTGATTTCTTCACTTTGGGATTTTCTTTTTAGTAATGCAAGACATATGCATGGTATGAAGATTAGCAACACAATCAATAGTACCATTAATTTCCTTTCTTCCAAGAAAACATTCACTCAAAATCCTGCAAAATATATGGGGATTTTTCTTCTTGGAAATTAAAATAGACCCTCTGAGGATAGATTACAGGATCAGTAGAAAAGAGTCTTCCTATGCTGTAATGTGCTTTTCCACTTCCTATTTCTTCAGCAACCTAAACATTCTAAATAAAAGTACAAATCTTCATTTTAACAACACCACAGGAATTGCAGGTGTTAATTAAAAATTCAGTAGTTTGGTTATGCATTCTGTCAATATCACAATCCCAAAGAGAATCTCTTCTAGCTATTTGGACCAGATGTTGTTTAATCTTCTGAACTTTTCAATGTTTTAACTGAGAATAGACATTCTGGGCTAGGACTTTTCGAGTTCTTCACCATGTAATGGTTCACTTTTTTAATGCCTATTATAAACATGTGATGATTTCATCTTATCGTGGGAACTGTTCACCAACTTGACAACTGAATTTAGATTTCCATGACTACTGCAACTATCTTGCATCAGCCTTTCTAGTGTTTTTCAGATGTTTTGGATGTCACTGCCCATTAGCCCCAGCCATCAGTGTTAATAGTCACATGCTGGTAAACATGGGCCAAAATCTAGCAAGAAAGCAGGTTGGCAAAGGCTTGTCTACATAATTGCCTCCAAAATGTTTGTATTTTTCCCTCCACAATCTTTGTAAAGGGTTCATCAAAATGTGTACTAGAAATTAGACATATAAAGAAAGTGTTATGGTTTCTCTGTGCATTCATCACAGCTTGTGGGCTTTGCAGAAGAGGTTGGGCCTGTTGCCAGCCATAATGGATCAAGGCATTGTAGATGTGGAGATGTTAGAAGCGGACTTCCTTTTACACAGAAGGAGAAAGGTTGCCCAAAACAGAAAGTAGTAGAGAGAAAAGTATCCATGAATTCTCAAGATGCTTGCTTCCGGTGGTTTAACCTTGAGTACTTGGGGAATCTACTGTATATGACTGTCTTCAAATAGATGGAAAAACTAAGTTGTCCATTTCTATCTGCTTGTTGCACCGAATATTTAATTATTTTTCTCAGGGATTCCAGCTCCCCCCACACAAAGAGATACTATTTGCCATGTAATGAAATTAATGCGTGCCAAGTCTACATCAAGTTAGACTTTCACAGATGTTATTTGCAGTATACTGGTAAAAAGGCAGCTAAGAAAATCTGAGGGAATAAAACACGTGCAATAGATGTTTATTTCAGCCACAGCCTGCATTCCTTACAGTTCAGCTTAATTGCCACTGTGATAATGGTTCATACTGAAGTTGCTCTTCAGAAATAGAGGAAGTGGTTTATTTCCTAGTCAGGGATTGAAGATCTTGCCTCCTCATCTTGTCTGTCTTGTGTGCGTACACTCACATGAGCGACAGAGAGAGGAGGGTAACTCATCAGCTTGTACAATATGTAAGAGCTGGTGCGTTTCCCTACCTCAAAAGGATGACATTCCTTCTTTTTCTAAAGCAATAAGGAATAGAAGCTTTATATAGCAACACTTTCCCCAGCATTATAGTTACCACCTGCTAGTTCCAGGGGGAGAGTGCTGCAGAATTCTTCCAACACTTTTATCACCCCAGCTTCCCTGATCAAGAAAGCAATTTATTGCTGATTGCAGAACTCTTGAACTCTGCCTGGCAGCTGCACTCTGAAATTTCTCTGATCCATCCTTCTAGTAATTTATTTATATATTCCATTGAAATTATTTTCAGGACTGCATGAAAACCTCTTGACATTGCAATATCCATGTTTTAGACTCTTATACTGTTGTTTCTTTCTCCCTTTATATTCCAGATAACAAACGAGTAGCTTTGGAAAGGTCACGTTCCCGCCACAATGGAACTATCACAGCGGTATGAGTCCCTCCTTTGCCAAAGAACTGAAAAAGTGTTTTATTTACTTTAAATGGAGACATGCTGAAAAAAGAGTGCAAAGAGGGACAATAATCAGAAATGAATTTTAAATGAATTCCAAGGAATAACAAGAAGAATTATGTATTTTACCAATGTTATTTTGCAAACAAAACAAATGGCTACCCTTTACTGTATATTATTAACAAGATTTTCAAGAGATGTAAACAGTGTTAAAATATAAGATTCTCCCTCTCCTTGTTTAGTATTACTTGCAGTTGTTGAGCAAGCAGGCAACTAAGACTGAAAACTACTGTGTTTTTGTTCAGCTCCTGTTATTTTCATTGGAAGGGTTAGGGTTGTGCCCAAGTGTGGAAAACAGTGTATATGAACTAAGGTGGATGAGGCATACATGTTCTATTAAAATAAACAGCATCAAAGATCAGGTTAACTAAAGGGAGCAGAAGTCCATTCATAGTTCATTTGAGATGGAAAGAAAAAAAGACAAATTTGCATATTAATGAATTCAGATATGAGCTGATATAGCACACATCATAAGAGACCTTTTCTGTAAGCTTGAGCAAGCACTGTACAGCCCCTGTCAATTTCCTTAAACTCTTATCTCAAGTTTAAGCATGATGGATTCAGCTATTTTGGTTGCTGTTCAACTTTATCACAAATCTACAGCTTCAGTGGTAGAAAGATATATAGCGTCTTATCACCAGAAAAAAAAAAAAATAAGAACATAGGACTATACCAAAGTTAAACTATATCATTTGCAAAATATGTTTTAAACTATATTTAAAGATGTATTTTCTAATTATGTACTTATATGAACTTTATACAGATATTTGAGGTTGTGATGGTTCCAAAATTCCTTTGCCTTTGCTTAAACTTTCAGAGACATAGCCTACTAATAAGAACTGGTTGCTCAAGGTATCTCCATGTATGATGCTCTGCATGTGATAGCCCATGTTAAGATGGCTCAAGCGATGGGCTAGAGTAGTAACAGGGGGAGAGGGATGACTGCTGCTGAAACATTGCTCCCTTTTTATCATTTCAATTCATACCACATTTTGAACCACCCAAAGGCATCAACATGAACAAGCTGAGAATGTCCTGTGCTTGGTAAGGCACTGTATAACTTGCCATACATGTCTTCTGTGTGTGTATATATATATGTGTGTGTGTATTTCTGAAGGAGGTGGGTGTTCTTATGGTGGGAAACCATTTTGTTACTGCTGGTGGTTAGGGAAACACACAGAGATGTAAAATAATAATAATAACCTTGCGAGATTTATTTGACCAATGGGTTTGGCATGGAAATATTTGGAAGGCACTAAGTACTGGTGAAGAGAGCTGAATGCACTGTAAAGTGGAAGAGATAGGGTTACTTTGATTTCAGGCAGTATTCAAAACTCGGGCACGTCAGGAACAGAATAATCAACCCTTTGCTCTGTTTCTTGAACAAGTGATTTTAACTACTGCCATAGACAGCAAGGGCTAAACTCCTTATTGCAGCTCAGGCCATCAGAGAAAATCTCTTCCACTCTAGTTTTTCATTAAGTCTATTTCTGGACCTCTGGCGGGGAGGGTGGTATCACAAGCAACCTACCACAGTGATCCTGGCCGCCAGGAGAAAGCATATATCAGGGATGAGGCGATTTTCCGTGATCCTTCCTTTGCCTTACAGCCCCAGGCACTGCTCCCACTTGCTCTGGAGGTCCCCCAGCCCTGCAGACCACACTTGGAGGGAGCACTGCAATCTCACTGAAAAAGCCCTTTTTCCCCATTCTGATTAATGGGGAACAATGGTTGGATACCACCCATTTTCCTCAACCCAGGCGAGGGGAATCCATTGATCACTTTATACCCATGCTGATTCTGAAGAGTTAACAGCAAATGTGTTGTTTATCCTCCAAGCAGCCCCATTGTGTGGGTTGGACAGAGATGGCAACTGGCTTGTGACTGTCTAGTGAGTTGTGTGGCTACCCAAGCATCGCAAAACTGCTCTTTCATCTGTGGCATTCTAGCAACTACACATGTTCCCAGTGCAACATCCAGGAGCACAGGGTCTGGATTCAGTGTTACGCATGGAAGGGACAGTACGCTCTATATACACCCTATTTTCTTAGCCGCAGCTCACAGCTGCATGCTGCATTTTATATTTGGTGTATATTATATTTTGTCCAAAGTATGTTGCCCACAAAGTCCACTGCTTATCACTGAAGGGGCTCTATTGTAAGGGAAGGAGCAATCCCTTTTTGTTCTGTTTTCTGTGCCCTGGCTTTGGATTCAAGGGAGAATGGGATCAGCCCTGTCTGTGCAGTCAACAGCATTTGGGATCATAATCTGCATTCTGCAGCTTCTTCAGATTCAGCTCTCTGGATGCCTTACAACTTTAAATTCAAGGAAAGAAAAAACCTTGAGGGCTTTCTCATATCCTGGGTGAAGTAGAACAACTCATGAATTCTGAAGGTCCTGATCTGTTGTTTCATAGGAATATGGCGTTAGCCTACCAAACTGAATGTTTGATATATTGGTGCATATCTCTCCAATGGATATAATGGCTTTAATAAGAATAAATATTCTGCTGTTACTGCCCACCCTGTAAGAATGTTAATAGGCTTAGGGTAAACATTCACTTTCAAATTACCCATCTAACCTACATTTTCCCATTCATATCTTTAAAGCCAAAACTTTTTAACACACAAAGCCAACCCAACAATATTTTAAAACAACTCATTGGAACTCAAATATGACACTGCTAATTTACTAGAATTTAAAATCCAAAACTATATTTGTGAGCATACCTTTCTTAACATACTACAGATAATTTTAATGTATCAATTATTATGATTGCAACATTTTAATTTCCTGAAACATTTTGAGCAACCTAGTAGTTGGCAATTTCATATTTTAAAGACCCATCTTCTGACAAAGAATAAATCCAAAAGAACCATAAAGAAGTTCTAATATTTCAGTTTACTAGCCCAGTCATTTTTTCATATTTGGAATTGTTATGTAATTTAATAGTTTGTTAATAAACCAAAAAAGGGGTAGAAAAAGTTAATATTGTAAATACAGAGTACTTGTATTTAAAAAATCTCAAAAGTATTTTTTTCTGAATGTTATGTAAGGTCACAAAATCTTTTTGATAGCTTTTTATTCTTTCAAAAATGCAGAGTGAAAACAAAAACTACTACTTACTCTTTGTATTAGTGCAATTCCCATTCCTCCCAAATGCTTATGTGGTAAACTAATGAATGCAAAGATTAGACATCACAGCACCTTTCCTAATCTGCATTTACCTTATTTTCTAATATTAAAAGGAAACATACGTTCTTTCCCTTCGCAAGACTCTAATTATTTAATGCTGATCATTTATTAGATATTTCCTGGTCCTTGTTCATAAGAATGTGCAATGCATTTCACATAAAATAGAATGTGTAGTGATCCCACCACTGCTATTGCCCTGCTGGGCAGTACCATCTTAAATGTTAACATCTTTTAATCAATGTGCAAGGTTAAGCTAAAACCTGCCCCAAAATAAAGCCGTTTTAGGCAAATCTACTCATTTTAAAATTAAACCACTATGAAGTATTTCTAAATAAGCCACTCTATTTTTTTATAAACAATGTTGCATGAACTTGTTTGCTTCTGCTGACCTCTGTTAGCCAGCTTATGACAAATATGCATAAATGTTATATGCTTGAACACTGAGCCTTTGCGTCGCCATATCTGTGTGTATGTACTACCTCAAAGCACAATTTAGCGACACACAGAGTCTCTCCTCCTCCTCTGCTAAACATATATCATTTTAAAAGGCATAAGGCCAAACACTGGCGATCTTATGCTTGGATCTCCAAGGTCCCTGAATGCTTAGGAGATGACACTTTTTCTAACATTATGTTCCCAATCTAAATTCTCATTTAATTTATAGAAAAGTAAAACTGAAATATAATAAATTATACTTCGCACCATTGTTTGTATTAGGAACAGATATGGGGCCATTCATGTTTTCCCTAAAATGATACTTAATAGTTGGGGTAAAAGTTAGAAATCAGGGAAAATGATGGGGGAAAAGGTTTAAAAACCCCAGGACTGTGCTCCTCATCCTGTTTGAATCTTTCCCATGATTCCTTTTAGAAGAATTAAGAGATGGGAGCTCTGGTCATCGGTCTTCACCATCTCTTCTGATTTGGCTCCTAGGAACGTAGAAGTGTCTTTATGATCACAGCCATTCTTTTGGGTATTTGTTCCTGAGGAACCAGCTCAGCAACCCTTTGGCAGTGGTGAAAAGCCTCCCCATTGTCCCCCAGTGGGTGCTGTGCTGGAGTATCCATAAGGCACCAAAGCTCATGATCTCCTGACTCAGCCTCTGCTCTCTCAGTGACTCATTTTCCAGCAGACTGCAAAATTTACACACTTTGTGCCTTCCGCTTCTCAAACAGTTCTTGCACAAGTAGCTTATACATGAGGATAGGTAAAGAAAACAGCCAGCAAAATCATTATCCAAACAATGTCTGGCTAGGTTTAAAGGGTAAATAAATATGTATCAATATGTATATCTGTGCATAACCAAGCAGTCTTGAGTTTTAGTAAAAATTATGCACATTCCTTTTTTATGAAGAAGAATAAGATAATTAGAAGTCATTTCAATGACAGAGTATTATGCCCAAGTTCTTGCTTGGACCAGAGGTTATACCACACTCTTAAAGTGGAGCTCTTGCCTCTTCTTTCCATCCCTAGTAGAATAAGGAAGCACAGAGAGAGCAGAAATGGAGAACCAGAAGCAGCGTCAGCAACACTGAAGGACAGTCAGAGATGCAAAGAAGTCCACGCTGGCTCACACATCTTTAGACTGGGCCCGTGGTGGCAGGTCAGGTTAAGGCCTTCCCCCTGATGAAGTGTTGCTACACGTATTTGCAGTGTCTGACAGATCAGTGCAAAGCTTAACCCGCCCACCCATCTGGTGCATCTGTAGCAATAGATCCTACAAGCTGCTTCCTTAAAAATATTATCAAACAACCGAGAACTACTTGCACCCTTACTGTTTTTTTAAAGTGATAATTCTTAACACCTCACGCAGCACATATCAAATGATTTCAATACTCTCAGTGACAAAAATATCTGTAACTTGCACTTTAAATAACATGCCACATTAATAGTTACAAAATTATGGAAGGGTGCAGTGTAGTGATAACAGTACACACAACGTCCTGCTGTATTCAGTGTAATTGCACAAAACTGGAAAGCAGTTAAAAGGCACCTATGGCAATGATCCCTATATTTTCAGCAAAAACCTGCCTCATTTGTGCTTTGATCTAAGCACCACTGAGTACCTGAAACAACTAGCATATTATTGACATTTGTCAGGTTATAGTTAGCTACTTATCAGAATAAGCTACACAGAATTTTCCCATGTGCCATAGTATTTTTTTTAATATTTAATTAGATCAAATAAGTATGTTGCACTTTTGTAACATTAGCTGTCCCTTGTAAAAGTAAAGACAATTTCCTAACTGCTCCTCCATTTTTAGCCTCCCTCTGCAGCACCAGAAACTAGAAACTTAGCAACATGGGTAGATCACTTACTCAATATTTGTATACACCCCCACCACTCTCTTGTGCACACACTGGTAACTAATAGCTTTGCTCCCACGAAAGCCTCACTGCCAGTGCAGAAGTAAAATATACTAAGGCATGTGATTTCTGTGTGTGTGTGTGTGTGTGTGTGTGTGTGTGTGAGAACGTGTGCACAGAAAAGGAATTGATCACTTTACTGCTATGTTCTACTGCTTACAGATGTGCCAGTTAGGATTATGGCAGTATTAAGCTGGATGGCAGCAAGTTGTTGGTGTTCCTCAGGTCTGTTTCCTATTATGCCTATACATTATTTCTAAAGTTAACCTCCCTTTCAGACAGGACAGCATCATTCACCAGTGTAGAAAGCAAAGGTAGAACTTTCTGGGGAGCTCTCTGTAATCCTCTCCCTTCCTATCTTTGTTTGGAAAAGGCTGCATAAACATTTCATGAGTGTCTGAAAGCTTCCTTTTCCCTCTGAAATACTTGATATTTCCTAGATTTGAATAAATGCTCTCAAACAGGTACACAATTTCCTCTAGCCTTTTTATTCACATACCACAAAAAGCAAAATATTATCTTCTACTTGGTTATCTTGTTTACAACTCCCAGTATCCCTTCAAGTAAGCCTTGCTCGAATGTTAGTCTCCAGGGGTTCTCAGAAGGAGTGGAAGGAGGAGAGCAGGTATGCACGTCTGCCCCACTTCCAGAGTCCACGACGCTTTCCACTGCATAGTCACAGCTTCTCATGCTAAGTGGAAAATCTGAAGGACACAACTCGAGGCTACAGGGTACAGAACTGGCACACATGGGCTCTACCTCCTCATATGTTCTTGTTGAGCACCTGTGCAGAGCTATATTTACTATTTCATTTAGGGTTAATGCAGATTAACAGCACAATTTTGAATTGGATGATAGCATCCAATGTTTTATATCTGGGTATTAAATGTGCATTATAATTGTCAAACAACAGGAGGCTTAAAACTTTTTTTTTTTTTACAAAATATCAGGTTTTTAGTGATTTCAGAGCATAGGGTCAATTGAGCTACATTTTGTTTTTAAACTTTTTTTAAGTTCTTGTGTCTATTAATACCTCTTCAATATTACCCCTTTGAAGGATCTCTATGCAGCAAAATTCTGTTTGGGGGATAGTTTGGTTTTTTTATCCAAAAGTGTCAATATTGGGTTTGAAATGGGCAGGAAAAATGCCTGTGCTGTAATTCTAGCTAATTTTTTAAAAATCTGGGAGATTATATTTTCTTTAACTGTCAATCCTTGTGGTACAAGATAAAATGTAACAATATCATGCAATTACTGAACACATTAAAACCAGACTGTTTTATTTCACATATATTGAGTTGATTGAATGAGAGACATAATAAACCAATGTAACAGTTACTGTTCATATGTCCAAATATTAACTGTACTTGTATTAGTGAATGAATTGGCCTGATGATCCAATGGGAAATATTGGAGAGAAGACTTTGGCCTGGCTGGAGGGGAAGGTTTACAAATCTATCTCTGAATGAAAGGTATCGTTCTTCGTCGTGGCCTCTGTGCATCACACATATGGGTGCTGCGCCTGCGCAGTGCCTAGGCTGGAAGATTAGAAGGCTAACAGTTTTTGGTGGGAAAACGCTCTGCTCCCCTCCCCGCTGCAGTATAAGTAGAGCGGAGCGTCCGCCATTTTACTCAGTCTCTGCGACTGCCATTTGCTGTGCCTCATGCCTGCTCGTCTCTCGCTTAGATCTCGCCACGTGCTCCTTTATGGTTATCTTGTTCAGCTTACCTTTTTCCTCATTATATATCCCAGCTTTTCCTCTTTCCCTTGTTGTAGTTCCTCTGTTCATTCTTTCTCTAAAAAAAAAAAAAATATATTATTCCTACCCTCTGTACTATCATCTCTTCCTTCTTTCGCGATGGCACAGCGGGCAGCATTCCGCAAATGTAGTGAGTGTGGCTCCAAAATGTCTCCTGCTGACCCGCACGACTTATGCCTCCCCTGCCTCAGCGAGGGGCATAGGACCGATAAGTGCGGGCTTTGCCTGGCCTTTACCAAACAGGCCAGGAAGAATAGGGAGAATCATCTCCACAAGTTACTTTGGGTCCAGGCCTTGCTTCAATCTGACCAGCTAGTCTCAAGGCCTACCCACTCCTCAGCCGTGCCCTCTAAGCACCCCGCCTCAACTTCGGCCACGCCACCGCAGCACCCTTCGGATGAAGGCGCTGCACCAACAGAAGCGCAACAGCTACCTTCTCCTCCAGCCAAACAAAAGGAGGAGCGTAAGCATTCAGAGCCAGAAAGGCCCTCCGGCCATAAGAAGCCGAGGAAAGAAAAGGTGGCTAAGGCGACCCACAAGGGCAAAAAACCCGATCGCCCCAAACACCGAGGCTCGGGTTCATCGGGGTTCTCGGTACCGACTCCCGCCACAGTACCAACTCCCTTGGGACCGGCCCTGCAGTCTACAATGCAGGTGACTCCGCTGGAATCCCCCAGGCCTGTTCTTCGGCCTGAGAGCGTGTCTCCTCCACAGGAGCCACTGCTTAGGGAGTCCATCTCTGATGGAGAAATAAGAGATTCCCTACCGAGGCAACACTCCCTGATGCCAATGCCTGCTGTTGGGCTACCTGAGAGACCAGACTCTCCTCCTAGGCATAGGAGCCGTTCATCGGAGTGCCATGCAGATGACTGGTCTATGCATGGCTATGGTGGCTGTCCTGCCTGGAGTGGACTCCATTCATATGCCTTTTTTCCTCTGGACCATCGCTCGCCATCAGTCCCGAGAGAGGCACCGTCCACTTCTGGCCATATGGAACGCAGACCTCCACCATCTCCTGAAATCTCCTTGTCCAGTGAGCATTACCGCTACCATCAAGACTCGGACGAGTTGGAAATAGACTCCACATCTCTGGACGTGGCTATTACTTCCCAAGACCTGGGATCTCTGGATGAGCCCCATGTTTCTTTCTCGGAACTCGTTTCTCGTCTAGTCCGGTCGCTGGAGATAGAGGCCTACCACCGCCCCGGGCCCAGCACAGACCAGTTTTACGACATCGTCTAAGGGGAGTAATCTGCTACCATTGCCTTACCGTTGATTATCACGCTTCGCCAGGCAATGCGAAAAATGGTTCAGCCCTGGGACCAACTGGCTCAGCCGCAGGCGGTGTCTCGCCGGTACGAATATATGTTCCAGGTCCGAGAGGATGACATTCCGTTCCTGCTGCACCACCCGAAGCCTAATTCGGTGGTGGTCAAGTTGTCCCAGGGCAGGGAGGCTCGGGGACATACAACACCCCGAAATAAGGAAGGGAGGAAGGTCGACATGGTTGCGCACCGGGTCTATGCGGCTGCGGGACTCAGTTTGCGTATTTCAAATTATGAGGCTACACTGGGACGTTACCAGTACTTCTTTATGCAGAAGCTGGAAAACGTCGTCTCCTCCCTCCCAGACTAGCAGGCAGACCTAGCCAAGGTCTTCTTAAATGAAGCAAAGCAGGTGGCCATTCAACAGTTGTCTAACGCGAGACATCACATAGACACTGATTCTCGGGCCATGGTCAACGCTATCTCCCTCCGACAACACGCGTGGCTCAGGAACTGCAATTTCCCTGAGGAAATGAAGAGGAGGATAGAGGAAATGCCATTCAATGGCTCCGACCTCTTCCACGCAAAGACCGATCGAAAACTCAAAGCCATCCACGAGTCCCGTATGATGGCGCGTCGAATGGAACTTCCACAAGTGAAACGTAAGCGGTCATGGTCCAGACCCTACGGGCGCCAGCAAGATCAGCCTCGGCAGCAGTTCCACCAGCGCCAGCAACGTAGAAGTCAACAGCCTCAACAGTGCTTCTTCCAGGGCCGTAGGCGGTTCGACACTGAGAAACGTCCCCGTTGATGGTCCCGGCGAACCAATTCATCTGTCCACCTCCCACCTTTCCCTCTCCCTTTTGGGAGTCGGCTCCAAAGCCGACTTCCCATTTGGGAGGCCATTACATCTGATAGGTGGGTGCTGTCCATCATTCAGCTCGGATATAGAATAGAATTCGACATCGTTCCACCGTCAAGCCCTATCCGGTTTACACCACCATCTTCGGTTCTATGCAACAAAGTCCACCTTCTTCATAAGGGAGTGATTCGATAACTCTCTCGCACTGATGGGCTACACAGATTCTATTCTAGATATTTTACAGTCCCCAAATGGGACGGTGGTCTTCAACCTATCCTGGATCTAAGAGGAGTCAATAGATATATCAAACCAAGGAAGTTCCAGATGACCACTTTACAGAATATTCTTCCATTGCTGAGGAAAGGGGATTGGTTCACCTCACTGGACTTGAAGGATGTGCATTTTCATATTTCTATCCATCCTTCCCATAGAAGCTTCCTACGTTTTACTGTCAGATCCGATATCTTCAAATTCAATGTTTTACCATTCGGACTGGCTATGGCACCGAGAGTCTTTACAAAGTGCATGGCCCTGGTTTGCACCCACCTACGGCTCCGGGGTATACAGGTCTACCCCTATTTAGATGATTGGCTAATTGTGTCACAGACTAAAGACAACCTTTTAGCAGCTGTCCATGTGACTTGTGCTTTACTTGCTGACCTCGGATTCTGTATTAACCTTAAGAAATCGTCACTTGTTCCCACACAGGTCATCGATTTCATCGGGGCATGTATCAACTCCACCCTGCAAAGAGCGTTCCTTCCTCCGTCCCACAGGGACACCCTGTGTATGCACATCAATCGGATTCCACAACAAAGGACAGTTCAAGCCATCACTATACAAAGATTGTTGGGACACATGGCAGCCTCAGTGGCCATTGTGCCGCAGGCAAGGCTCAGACTCCGCCTGCTCCAATTATTTTTCAACAACTCGTTCCATCTGCAGCGGGATCTACAAACCAAGTTTCTGTGGATTCCATCTTCGATCCTTCACATCCTGATGTGGTGGACTATTTCACGCAACCTATCTGTAGGCATTCCGTTCCGCCTACCTCAACTGACTGTGACAGTGTACACCAATGCGTCTCTCATCGGATGGAGTGCGACATGTGCAGGACTTCGGGTCCAAGGGGCATGGACCCAAAAGGAAGCGGCGAGGCATATCAACTTCCTCGAGCTTCTAGCGATTTTCAACGCTCTCAAATCTTTCAAAACTGTCCTACACCGCCAAGTTGTACAGATTGTGTCAGATAGCATAGCTGCTGTTTTTTACGTCAACAAACAGGGCAGGACAAAGTCACCTCTCCTGGCCCATTTGTCAATGCAAATCTGGGATTGGTGCATTCTTTGGGACATCACGATGCTGGCGGTTCATCTTGCGGGAACCGACAACGTAGAAGCTGATGCACTGAGCCGACAGATGTCAACAACCCACGAGTGGGAGTTGGATCGAGTGGTTTGCAACCAGCTGTTCCAGTTATGGGGACAACCAGATATAGACTTGTTCGCGACCCAGTCGAACAGGGTGTGCAAACTGTTCTGCTCCAGAGCAGGGCTGGGACTGGACTTGAGGGGAGATGCCCTAATGATCGACTGGAACAACTTGTTCTTCTACGCATTCCCTCCAATCCCACTCCTCATGAAGGTAGTGTCGAAGATCGTGCACGACAATGCCACAGGAATTCTGATAACCCCATGGTGGCCAAGGCAACCCTGGTTCACCACCTCTCCTCACTCAGTCCAGGGGACTTTTTCGACGACTTCCATTTGTTCCTCATCTGTTAACACAACACAACGGGACAGTTCGACATGCGGACCTGCTCTCGCTGAAACTAACAGCGTGGTGCTTCCGATAGATCTGAATTTTCTGTCGGCTCCGTTGCTGTCCTGATCGACGGAACTTTCACTTCAACGACTTACGCAACCAACTCCTCCCTCAGAACCATCAAGGCCTGTCTCGGGACCAACAGTGTTGTCCTCGGATATCCAGGCAATTCTCGAATCTGCACTACGACCTTCCACACGCAAATCGTATTCAGCAAAGTGGAGGAGAGTCTCTTCCTTTGCCGATGCCCATTCCTTCTCTCCGGAGTCAGCTTCGATCGAGAATATTTTGTAATTTCTATTCAAACTTCATCGTTCGGGACTCAAGCCTTCATCTATAAACATCTATACGGCTGCTATCTCGCATTTTTGTGGCAGCATCCAGGGGTCATCTGTTTTTTCTCAACCACTGATCCACCGTTTCCTTAAAGGGCTACAAAATTTGCACCCGTCGGTTTGACCTATTATGCCAACATGGAGTCTTTCTGTTGTACTTCAGGCCCTTACAAAACCTCCATTTGAACCTTTGGCAACAGTGCATCTACGCCTAGTTTCATGGAAAACTGCCTTCCTTGTTGCAGTTACTTCAGCCAGAAGAGCCAGTGAACTGTGTGCTCTATGCATAGACCCACCATTCTTGAACTTTC